TTTCCATCTCACATCACATCATTAGTATATTTTACTTTGAGATGTCCGTCTAGGAGCAAGAGAGCCAGAATCTTCAATGGAAAGTTACAGAAATCTCATGCAATCTAATGAAAGAATGACTTTCCCATGGGAAAAAATCATACTCCTTATTTCTCCCTCTCCTCTGTGTTGCTGTTGTGAGTGCTACTGGGATTCATACAGCCATTTCTAGTCTGGTTCTGAGTCACACATACCTCTTGGTAAGGATATACCCATAGGCAATACGTTCCCTTGGTTAATTATTTTGACCAGGGTGAAAAACACCTCTGTACAGAGAGGTATCACAGGTCCCAGGCATCAGCTTATTTTATGTAGGGCTGGACTGGGAATTTAGGGAGGAGTAGACCTTGTGTTAGTCACCTTCAAGAGGAAGGTGTCACCCTAGGCAAGAGCATAATTTCTTTTTCTATTTGCTGCCCTGGGTTCTTTTTTTCTATAAGTGACCCTTGCCTTTTTGACTTAACCTGTTAGAACTGCTGCTTACATATATAGCAGATCTTAGATCAACCCTGAGCACGAAAAATGTGCAGGTGGCACGGATGTGCAACCCACTTCCCAGATAAAGGTTACATTAACTAGCCGTGTCTGCCTGCTAAATGCTGCCTTGCAGCTGGCCATCATCCACTGCTGACATTTATCCATATGTTTCAGTGTTTAGTTTTAGTCATCTTTTGACATGAGTTATATCAAATACAACTAACTTTTGAAAAATCAGGTCCAGTGAGTACGACCATACTAGTTAAAAAATTAAGAATAGGATCTGGGCTTGAGAAATATCCTCTGTTTGTCCATACTATTATCATGCACACTCCTTGACACAGTTTTGTTCCTGCCAATTGACTATCTCTTGAAAAAAGACTTGGGCACAGATTTCTCTAGTACAAGTTCTGGACTGTTTTCAATAAGAGTGTGGATGAGGGCACACAGTTCTTTTTGGAAAGCAAATTTAGTGATACAGGTACAGAACATGCTGTTCCACTTGTCCTTAGGCCAAAGACTGCGCCTTGGTAAGTTTAATTTAGTAGGACAAATGTAGCTGCTTTATCTATATCTTGAAAATAAAAAAATTGAACAGTACTTGCTAGGCTGTCTTCAAATCTTTTGGACCCACTAGTTACAACAATAGAGCCTTATAACCCAAAACACAGTAGTTAACCAACCCTACTTGGAAAGTTTGAAGTATTAAAGGACTTCTCTTTTGAAGGACTGAGTGTATGAAAAAAATGCATTCAGTAAGTATTCCTCTCCTTTTGGGAGGAGTCACAGAATCATATTTGTCCAAAAAGTTGCCCTCTGAATCACTGCTCATTCCCAGCTCTCTGTTGTGAATCTACATAAAAGCTCAAATGAGCTAGGCTACATGATGACATTTTCCGTATGCTATCTTTTAAATCCTAGTAAGGATGTGGAGGTAGCACACTATTTTGCAATATGTTTTGTACTGAAAAATGGAAATTCAGCAAAAACTGACAAGAAAGTCATGTTGAGAAAAATGTGTTTTACTAGCAATCAAGGGACAGACTATGTAG